CAGGCCGCTGGGCCGCTTGCGGCGATCGCGTATCGGCGCGACCGCGCGCAGAGGGGCCCATCGATATTCTCGACGATGATACGTGGCTCAGGCGAAATGCGGCATGCACGTTGAGATAGGGAGAGAGAGAGAGAAGAGAGAGGGAGAAACATATTATATATAGAGAGAGAGGGGTGGGAAAGAGAGAGGGATAAATATGTGTATATATATATATAGAGAGAGAGAGAGAACAAAAAGAAAGAGAGTGAGAGAGTGAGAGAGAGAGGGAGAGAGAAAGAAAGAAAGGGGGAGGTAATACACAAACAAAGCGCTTCTGCCATGCCCGGCCTGGCCGCGCGCCATCGCGCGCCCGGGGCCCGGGGAGTCAGCCGGGAGGTGACTTGCGGGCGAGGTGCCGCAGCGAGCAGCTCCCGCGACAGTCGGGGCCCGTCCAGATACCAGGAGGATGGCCCACGACTCGCCGCCGCAGGCCCTTCCGCGACGACATGTTCGCACGTGCTTCCAGCGGGACACTGCCTCCAACCGCGTCTATCAGAGCCCCGAATCATCAGGGGTAACTCGGGTCAGGGATGACTCGGGTTCGTTTTTCGGGAATCCAAACCCGAGTTACCCCGGACCCGAGTTACCCCGGATAACTCGGGCGTCCAGAGCCCCACATCATCAGGGGTAACTCGGGTCAGGGCTAACTCGGGTTCCTTTTTCGGGAATCCAAGCCCGAGTTGCCCCGGGCCCGAGTTACCCCGGATAACTCGGGCGCCCAAGTCTACGACGGCCGGGTGAACGTGCAGGGGGCGTCGTCGGGGCGATTTGCGGACTTTGCGGATAGGAAGTGGCATTCGACGGTGAAGGGCTGGATGGTGCACCAGCGCCCCGACTGCGTCGCGCTGGTGCGACTCGCGGCCGCGCGCATGATGGACGCTCGTACCGGAATGAAAATGGGTAGCGTTGCAGTTGAAGCACCTCCCCCGGTGGCCACCTGGGCGCCCCTGGCTCTACATCGGGGCCACCGGCGCCTGCGCGAGACCGGGCGCCCCGCCCCGGCGCCCGCCTCGCCTCATTCGCAGGTCACCGCTACAGGCCAGCCAGAGGGCCCGCAGTTGTTTACACGCACGGCACCTACTACGATTACCTCGAGTCCATCTTCAAATGTGGGTTTTCTAGCCGTGAGGAGAACAACCCAAATTGCAAGGGCAGCATTCACTTAATTCGCAGCTGCCCGCGCCGTCCAGACGACCCACGCATGCAGGCAGGCATGCGCGCCGACTCCGATGCGACCTCGTTCCTATCGATGAAGCGCCCGACGCAGCGTGGACTGGAAATGCGGTGGTCTGCCAACGACGCTGTCCCCACCGACCGATTCGATGGGCTGATGCCTTCTCGCTTCATCATCCTGATTGCGGCCGTGAGCGACAAGGGCGCCCCCGGGGGCCGGGCGCGGCAGGACGCGCTACAAGTCGGCCCCCGCGGCATTCTGGACAAGAGGCTGGGGCCAAGTGCCCCGGCGCGGAACTGGCGCCAGCCAGATCGCCCGCGCGGCCTCCGCGCGGGGGCGCCCGAGGGCAACTTCGGAGCCGAGGTGCATGCCATCTTTATGATGGGCGGTACAGACGGCGCGCCGATGACGGACGCCGGGCCGCCTGCAGGAAACGCCCCTTCGGCGCATCGTTCACTGACATCATGGGCCATGTCCCCAGCAGCCGAGGTGGCTGCCATGCCGGCCGACATCGTCGCTGCCATCACGGGCGCTCTGACGCGCAACGACCTGTGAGCGGCAGCGGCTGGGCTCCAGTCGGGCATGAGGGATGCCGCGATGCCGGCGCCGGCGGGGCCGCCTGCCTCGTTTCGACCGCCGAGTCAGGCGAGTGCTGGACATTTCGAGAACCGTCTTGAGGCCGTTTTGAAGGCCTCTCGGGCCGTCTTGGAGCGCCGGAAGCCCAGGCAAGTGGAAAGCCCCAAACAAATCGAGAACCGAAGGAACAACAATTGTTGTCGCCTCTGTGGGGCCCCCCCGGGAAGGCTTCATGGGGCTCTCGTGGACCCGCTCGAAGGGTTCTGGGGTTCATGTGGGGCCAATTTCAGCGTCGTGGACCGATCGGAAAGCGATTCCGGGCACCCCTGGACCATCTGGGCGGGCTCTCGGGGCTCCATCGGGCCTTCTGTGGGGCCAAGGGCTCCCAGGAGGGCGCGAAGTTATTCGCGCTTCGCGCTTCGCCGTCCTCCTTCCTCCTCCCCCTTCTCCTCGTCCTCCTCTTCTCCCCCTTGGGGGGCGGCGCGAGAGCGCGAAGTTATTCGCGCTTCGCGCTTCGCGCAGCGCGAAGCGCGAAGTTGGGAGCCCTGGACCATCTGGGCGGGCTCTCGGGGCTCCATCGGGCCTTCTGTGGGGCCCACTTTGGCACCGAAAGTGGTCGCGCGAGGAGGCGCGGGCGAGCCCCTGGGGGGGGGGGCGAGGGGCAAGCCAAGGGAAGGTTCGAGAGCCGTGGTCCAGAGCCCCGAATCATCAGGGGTAACTCGGGTCAGGGATAACTCGGGTTCGTTTTTCGGGAATCCGAACCCGAGTTACCCCGGACCCGAGTTACCCCGGATAATTCGGGCGTCCAGGGCCCCGAATCATCAGGGGTAACTCGGGTCAGGGCTAACTCGGGTTCGTTTTCCGGGAATCCAAACCCGAGTTACCTCGGACCCGAGTTACCCCGGATAACTCGGGCGCCCAAGTGGTCTGGGCCCGTCGGCGAATCCGTAGGCTGCAGGACTGGCTGGCAGGAGTTGAGCCATCGGGGGCGGACAGAAACTCCGCCCCGACGCGTCGATTCGTGGATTGCCCGTTTTCGGTTCTCGATGGGGGCGCCGCGGCCGTCATTTTCCAGGCTGGCGCCCGCCAGGTCTGAGCTCTGGGCCCGAGGTCGTTCTCTGTGAACCACGTTTTCCTAGAGGGGGTTCTGTCAATCCCCGAGGCAGAGGACCTGGTGCCGCCCCACTGCGCGTCACAGGGGCACGGTGGCGGAGACATTCGCAACGAGAGAGAGACAGGGGTACGTCTGCAAATCTACAGATGGAGACGAACAAATAGTCGAGAGGGGAACTGGCGGGAAGAAGGGGAGCAGACAGAGAGCCAGAGATAGTAGAGAATACGTAGCCCCCCGCAGTTGCGGATAAGAGTGAGGGGGCGGCGAGGACGTCGTCGGTCTGCGAGGCTCTGAAGAAGCCCGCCGCAGGCGCCTGACTTTTACACTAGTTATGCATTGAGCCCGCCGCATGCGCCGCATCTGTTGTTCAAGCAATGTGGATGAATCGCGGGGTGGGTCGCGTCGCGGGTGGGTCGCGGGGTGGGTCGTCGCAGGCTGGGTCGCGGGTAGGTCGCGGGTAGGTCACGGGGTGGGTTGCGGGTGGGTCGCGGGTGGGTCGCGGGGTGGGTCGCGGGGTAGGTCGCGGGGTGGGTCGCGGGGTGGGTCGCGGGGTGGGTCACGGGTAGGTCGCGGAGTCGGTCGCAGGGGGGGTCGCGGGTGGGTCGCGGGTGGGTCACGGGGTGGGTCGCGGGTGGGTCGCGGGTGGGTCGCGGGGTGGGTCGCGGCATGGGTCGCGGGGTGGGTCGCGGGGTGGGTCGCAGGTGGGTCGCGGGGTGGGTCGCAGGGGGGACGACGCAACAGAACAACAAAACAACAACAAGAATCCTCGCCGTGGATCCCCACTGCAGCCACGCACCGCACCCAGGGACAGTGAATGACCGTTCGGCCCCCTCATTCTGATAGAGTAGACATCCAAACCCGAGCGGCGATTGAGGCCCGGTTGCAGCGAATAGCTAATTGCTTCCGCTGCGGCCCCTTCCGGAGGGCTGAAGCTGCTCGGGGGAGGCGAGCGAAGCTCGGCGAGCGGCCGCGGCCTGCAGGCGTGGAGCACCTGCAGCGGGTTCCCGGAACATCCACGGATTGGTAGATTCATTTGTGTGCTATATATGTATAGGTATACACAAATACGTATGCACACATTTTTATATATATATATATATATATATTTATATATAACACTATGACAGTATATATATAGTGTTATATAAATATATATATGTATGTATGTATGTTTGTATGTATGTATTTATATACACGTGAGTATACATACATGTCATGGATCCCCGAATCAGTGCTCGCACGGATCGGGCCCAGCGGATGTTGACATGATCTTCGAACATGCGAGAGCGCTGTCTGTGGGCCGTGGGATTCCAGGGCTCCCGGTTCCCGGTCCAGGGTTCCCGGCAGGTTCTAGTGATCTCGAGTTCGAGGTTTCTCGGGGGCGGCAAAGAGGGGGGTGATGACTAGGGGTGGGGTGGATATCATGGCGGGGGCCATGATATTTCCCCAGATTTCATGGCGCCTCTTCTTGGTTCATTACGTCCCTGGCCCCCCCGCTGGGCCGCGCACATGCCGCCGGTCATGATTTGCACCCCCCCTTGGACACACCCCTCTTGGCCGCTCCCGATTTTCGGTCAAGGAATCAGGTCATTTCGACCACGGTCAGAATGAGACAAAATTCACCACAGCATCCACTTATTGTTTTTTCCTCTAGTGCCATCCCCAAACGCTTGCAGGCAAGTGTGATGTGGACAGGGATGAGCGAGGAGGGATGCTACGAAATGTCTTCGCAGCCGAGAAGCCGAATAATTACTTGCGGTCGGTGCTACTCATGTTGGCCTTACGATTCTGATTCGTCTATATCAGCAATGCGCAAGACACCCTTTTGCAGATTTGGTGTACAGTGCCTTTCGATAATTTATCTGGGCGTGGAGGGCGAGGGGAGAGGAGATGGGAGGGGAAGGGGAACTTTCCTGAAACGAGGTCGTGCAAGGAGACATGATAATTATTGTGTCGACGTGGTTGCGGATGGCCGGGTACGCACACAGATAAGGGAGAGGAGGGGAGGAGAAGACACATATCAAGGGAGGGTGCGTTATGCGCACTTTGTGTTGATTGATCTTCCCATCCCAATCCCCCATGTTGCTGCCATCTCAGGTGAGGGAGGACATGGGCATGACGAACGTGGAGCTGATGATCCCGTTCGTGCCCCCCTTAGCGCGGCCCCGCAATCGGATGGCATTCCCAGGGCTCCGCTCCAAGCTCTCCCTCTACGCCTTTCTCTCTCTCTCTCTCTCTCATGTCATCGTGTCTTGCCCCGCACTCCAGTAAGCAGACAGAGATCCCGACCTCCAACGTGGACCCCCGGGGGTTTAGACTCACTTGCCCAGGGCCAGCTTTGCATCTAGCGGCTTGACGGTCCAGGGGCCAGGCGAGGGCCAATACCCTTCCTCGGAGGCGGGCGACGGGGGGGGTGATGCTTTGTGGGAGACCTAAACCCAATCTACTTCAGCCGACTTCCTGCTTCGTCTTTTTACCCACTTCTTCCGACCGGCGCGTACGCATCTCCTGCAGTGACCTTCTTGGGAAGTTTCTGGTCCCGAGTGCAGACCCAGGTTTCCCAGGTCGCACTTGGACTCGCAGAAGTCTTTTTGATTTGGAGTATGTGCCTGGCCGATTGCGGTAAGCGGCAAGTGCCCGAGATTGTACATGTTCCCAGTTCTTTGGCCGCGGCCTAGCTTTTGCATATCCTATTGGAGGAGGAGGAGGAGGAGGAGGAGGAGGAGGAGGAGGAGGAGGAATAATAAGAAAAATCATTACCCCAGTGCGACTCTACCTAGAAGTTGGAGCCACTAGGAAAGCAGCATTAGTTGCTATGCTATGCTATGCTATGATATGCCATGCTATGCTGCGCTATGCTATGATATGCTATGATATGCTGCGCTATCCTATGCTATGCTGTACTATGATATGCTATGCTACGCTAAGCTATCATATGTCATGCTGCGCTGTGCTATGCTATGCTAAGCTAAGCTGCGCTATGATATGTTATGTTATGCTATGTTATGCTATGCTGCGCTATGCTATGCTATGCTATGCTATGCTATGCTATGATTGACTATGTTATGGTATGCTATGCTAATGCAGCGCTGTGCTGTGCTAAGCTAAGCTAAGCTAACCCTCTAGGCAGAACCTAGGTAGGGAATTACACACATGCTAATGCTATGCTGCGCTATGCTATGCTATGCGGGGCTATGCTATGATATGCTATGATATGCTATCCTATGCTATGCTATGCAGTGTTCTGCTATGCTAAAGCTCAGCGAAGCTAAGATGAAGGTAAGCTAAGCTAAGATAAACCGGAGCTAAGATGAAGCTAAGCTAAGCTAATACGAAATAAGCTAAGCTCAGATGAGATAAGCAACGCTAAGCTAAGGGGGCGCGACTGGGGGAACCGCGGGGCGGGGACTGGGGGAACCGCCCGGGGCGCGTTCCACTGCCCGGCCCCTTTAAGCTAAGAGAGTAAGAACCCTCTAGGCAGAGCCTAGGTAGGGAAAAAGAGGATTGAGGAGGAGAAAAGATCTGATAATGAGGAGGAGGAGGAGGAGGAGGAGGAGGAGGAAGAGGAGCGAGGGCGAGACAACCATGGCTCCAGCCAGGCCTGTCTGCGATGAAGTCGCGGAACAACATTTTCAGCTGTAGCCGACGGCTGAAGTAGCTCTGAACCCAAGCAGCGAGCGGGTCTCTTTCAAACCAACGGAACAAAGTTGCCTGACTTGTGGAGGTGAGCTGGCAGGTTTCAGTCCACGGCTGATCCACCCCCCACACGAAGAGTGGCATAGTTTTGCGTGTGACCCCGACGTACCGCCTGGGGCCCTCTCGAGCTCCCGTGTCCCCTCTGGGTGTTGCGGCCATGCCACTTGCAAGACATGCCGAGTAGACGGATGCGAGCCTGGGCCATGTGGACCAGCATTTTCATGATGATGTTCTTGAGGTAAGTTCTCTGGTCCAGACTCTCAATTCGGCGCTGGCGCATTACTGAGTCCTCGACCGCAAGGTGGTTGCCCAGCAATGTTGCTAGACACTCTAGGAGCGGACATGCTTGTCACGACCCGCAGCCGTAGCCGTGCATATGTCCGTGAGTTGTTTGCGAAGCAGCTCAAAGACAAGTTGGTACAGCAGGCAATCCAAAGGAAGCCTGTTTCGCACCAGCCTGGCTGGACCGATACTCGGGACCGAGTCCTCTGGTGGGATCTGACTCTCAAGACTCCATGCATCCTCCAGGACGACTCGAAGCTCGCGAGCCATTCTTGTTCCGACAGGCCGTGTTGTTGGTCACAGCCGACCCGAGATCGGCTGGCCACGCGGGGGGGTTCTTGCCCGCGCGGTGCCCATGTCGCGACTATGAATACACTTTGTGGCACATGCTTTGGCAGTGCTCACGCGGCGCAGGAGCAAGGGGGGGGAGCATCTGTTCGGGTCGGTGGTGCAGCAAGCTTTGGAGGCTCCTCGTCCTCCTCCTATTCCTCCTCCTCCTCTTCCTTTTCCTCCTCCTCCTTTTCCTCCTCCTCCTCCTCCTAGTCCTCGTCGTCCTCCTCCTCTTCCTCCTCCTCCTCCTCGTCCTCCTCCTCTTCCTCCTCCTCCTCCTCCTTTTCCTCCTCCTTTTCCTCCTCCTCCTCCTCCTAGTCCTCGTCGTCCTCCTCCTCCTCTTCCTCATCCTCCTCCGTGAAGGCTGGCAGACCTGACGCGCCCACTGAATGAGTGACGCCGGAAGCGAAGTGACGGAGATGGGCGCCTTTTGTGTTCGGTGGCAAATCCTGGGAGCCTCCCATACCACTTTGTCGGCTCTTGCGAATCGACGCTACTTCGACGCTACATCGACGCTAATCGACGCTCAATCGACGCTAAACCTACGCTCATCGACGCTACTCGACGCTACATCGGCGCTACCTCATCGATTCCTGGACGCTAAATCGACGCTACTCGACGCTGAAGACAGACCTGCGAGGGTGCAAGTCTGTCTTTAGCGTCGAAGTAGCGTCGATTAGCGTCGATTCGCAAGGGCCGACAAAGTAGTATGGGAGGCTCCCACGAGTTGCCACCGAACATGTGGTGCTTTGCATGGCCCCCTGGCTCCAAGCTCTTCTCACCTGATGGCTGTCTCTGTCTGGCGCACGTTTGAACTCCGGCACACGTCTGGTTGTTAGGTAGTCGAGGCCTTTGAAGATGGCACCATAGCTGGAGATCTTTCTGCGGGGCTTTGCAACGAGCTTTATGCCGGGCTTTGCCGATCCTTAACGCACAAACTACAGTACCAGCTGAGCATGCCAGGAAGTTCGTGGCCATGGTGTTTCGCGATGATAGGGTAGAGACCTCTAATCAATGTGCAGACACGGAGGTGTTGCTAGGGCAGCCGACCCAAAAGTTTAGGCCGAGATGCCAGCAAGGCCATTTTAGAGAGTTGCGGCGCGGGTGACGGGTCCTGAGAGATGGAAGTCAAGGCCCGTCGAGATGGGCCCCGAGGCCCTCGATGCGGACGAACGTTCTCCTCGTTGTTACCGTCTCGCGGACCTTTATGCTGAGCGAGTAGCGCACGAGAACATTTCCAGTAACGCAGAATGTGACACAATGAGGTATGTTACGTATGCGTGTGCAAAGCTCGCGCGAGGAACTTCGACGAGTCAGAGTGCGGAAGGGCACGTGGGGTATCGATGGCGGAGAAGTGCATGGTACACCTTTATTCGAAGGGAACAGGGGAGGAAGAGGAAGAGGAGGAGGAGGAGGAGGATGAAGAGCAGGAGGAGGAGGTGGAGGAGGAGAAACGACGAGAGTCCCACCCCTGCCCCATAATGAGTTTCGGCGGCGGGCGAGGGGGGGGGAAGTGAGAAGGGGAGGGCCTTCTCAGAAGGCTCGGGAGTCCCCCGGCCTTTGAGAAGTTTTCTAAGCCTTCCCAGAGACACCAAAAACCTTTCAGAAGGGTGGAGGCCTTTCTGAGAAGCCCCGCCGCCTTCTGAGAAGGCCTTCTCCTTCTCGCTCCCCCCCCCCCTCGCTCGCCGCCGACCGTCATGCGTTTGAGCGTGGTGGAGCGGAGTTTGGATCTGGCGGTGCTCTCGTGGTCTCTGGCGTGCCGGCCCGCAGCCTGGGGGGGGGGGGAGGTGCATGGGCTTCTCAGCCTCACCCTGCGTGAGTTGGTGCACGCGGAGTCCCATCGAGGGCACCCGCTCCAGGTAAGACGGGCGGTTCGGACTGATATGCACGTGATGCACTCAGACCGCACAGTAAGGGTGAGCAACCTTCCAAGGTTACCCTTGCATCCTTCCCCTTCGCCCCATCCTTGGCTGCTTTTGCTGTCCACGCCCCGTTCGCAAAGCGTCGGCACGGCCTTCCAAGGCCTTTGCATCCTGATCGTGGGTCATTATTGAAATTACGGATTGGCTGTATCCAGATCACGCCAACAGGCTCAGAGATTGTAGCGGTTCGCGCGTCGCGGCCTCGGTCTACCTTTTTCCAAGGCGGCCTGGCGAGGACGCGCGAGGGTGGCTGCACATCGCGCATCGCGGGGCGTGATGCGCGGAGTTCGGCGAACTGGGACAGGGTGCAGGCGTTGTTGTGGAGCATCGCCAGCATCGAGTGTGGTCCGAAGCTTTTTTGGGCAGCTGCCGTCCCCAGCGGATGTGCCCGAAGAGGGGAAAGCGTCTGAAATGTGCGCTCTCTGGAACTCACCACCCACCAAACCACCCCAACCCAACCCGAAGGCTCAAATTTACCCTCGATTTCCAGTGGGGGGGGGGTCGGGAAACATCGAAAAAACACATGTGGAACCCTTACACCCCCCCCCAACCCGAAATTCGGGTCTTCGGGTTGGGTTGGGGTGGCCTGGTAGGTAGTCAGGAACGAGCCTGAAGCTGAGGTTCCCGCCCCAGCCTTCCTCTTCATTGGAGGTGCAAGCGGGCGGCGCGGGGCAGGGTCAGACGATCGGCGGCGAGCGAGGAGGGGAAAAGAGAGACGGGGCGGGCGGTTGCAGAAGGCTCGGAAGTCTCCTGGCCTTCTGAGAAGTTTCCTGCGCCTTCCCCGGATATACACACAAATTCCCAGAAGGCGCAATGGCTTCTGAGAAGTCCCGCCGCCTTTGAGAACTCAATCACCTTCTCACTTCCCCCCTCGCTCGTCGCCGAGGGTAGTCCAGGGCAGCCGTCTTCCTGTCTCACATGTTCCGGATAATTCCCCTAGGGTTGCGCTTGCATGATTCTGGGTTGCAAGTGTGAGTTGCGACCAGCTCGAGCTGGACAACCATTCAGGCACTTACCAGACGACTGCAGAAGAAACCCACAAACGTCGTATGACGGTCCAGAGCGGTTCCAAAATTGCCACGAGAAAGCTCCAAAAGGGCAGCGCATACAATTTGAGGCGTCTTGGGGCCGTTTTGGAACCGTCACGCGCAAGTCGAACATCAAACCTTGACGTTCGGTTGAATCAACGCTCGCTCTTGCTGTGCCATCAGAAAAATATCATCAAGCGCGGGGGCGCGGATCAGTGGACATTCTTGGCTCAAGTCGTTTGGCTCGAGATGAAGGTGTGCAGCACGCATGCTGCTGAGCGCTTTCCTGGCCGTCATTTTGAAGCCGGTGGCATTGGTATGTCCGAGATCATCCCCACATGCGTGACGCTGTTTGGCTCTTCGCGTGCTGCCGATTCCTCCCAGCCAATTCTGGCTCCCCCCTGCGCGGGGTGAAATTCTTCGATTTTCCAGACGTGAAGGAGATAAGCAAAGACCTCCCCCACTTCCGCGTCTACACTGACCCTGACGCGCCGTACTACGGCAAGGTTCGCGGCGCCGTGCAAGAGCTGGCTCGGCGCGAGAAGCACCGGCCGGTGGCGTTCATCGAGATCACAGCCAAACACTCCAACATTTTCAAGTGGTTCAACTTCCAAAATGACAAGGAGAGCCTTCCCTTCGCGGTTCTGGTGAATTGGACTTACGGTATGGGCAAGAAGCCATACGACATGTATGCGTACGCCAGCGTGGATGTCGGCGCCCCAAACGCATCCGCCTTGCAGGACGTGGCCAGCATGGAACGCTTCGTCGGCGATTTCTTCGACTGCCGGCTGAAGCAGTGGCTGCGTTCGGAGTTGGTGCTGGAGAATTTCTCCAATTACAAGCCCTTCGAGGGTGCTTTCCAGATGGTGCAGACGCAGTGGTCGGAGGTGGTGCTGCAGGACGATGTCGACGTCCTGGTGTTGTTCTTTGCACCTTGGTGCGGATTCTCCAAGCGGATGCAGCCGAGGATCGACGACTTGGCGCGCCGTCTCGCGCATGTCAGTTCCCTGAGGGTGGCGAAGATCGACCTGACGCTCAATGACATAAAGCACCCAGTGCTGCACCGCATGACCGGCTACCCGTTCCTGGTCATGTTCCCAGCCGGAAGGAAGGACGAGCCAGAGGTGGTCCACGCTCACGATCTCAGCGCCGCGGACGAGTGGACAGCGGGCCTCATCGAGCAGCTGAGGCTGATGGCCACACACCCGATCCCAGACACGCCGCCGCCAGCCCCACAGGCGGTCGGACGGGGCTACAGCGAGGCTAAATCCGTTCCAGAGCCTTCCGGAACGCTCTCGACGCCCGAGATACCTTCAGAGCCGCTGGATCTCAGAGATTCTCGATTTGGCGGTTGGGCGGGGCTACGGCGAGGGTTTATCCGTCCCAGAGCTTTCCGGAACGCTCTCGACGCCCAAGATATCCTTCCGGAGCCGCCAGATCTCAGAGATTCTCGATTTTTATCGGGCGGGACTTAATGGGGGGGTCATAAACGGGGGGGTCAGAAAAGGTCCCGTTTCGTGCCCCTTTCGGGCCCCTCCAGAGCCCCAGGGGGCTCGTTTAGGTACCGTTTGGGTACCTTTTCGAACCACCCTCGCCACCCCCCCATTTATGACCCCCCCATTACGCGGCGCCCAAATTTATCCTCACCCGATGGTATCCTCCTTCTGGTATCGTCTTAAGGCAGACGCCGCGGAGGCGGCGCGGCAGGCGGGCGGCACCTTCCGCGACACCCAGGAGATCTAGGCCTTCCGTCCTTCGCCGGGCCCCTCGGTGAGGATCAGCCACGCGCAGAGGGGGGTGGGGGGAGGGGGCAGGGCTTCTTAGAAGCACCCCTGCTTCTTAGGAGGCGAGGGCCTTGTCTCTAGATGTGAGGCCGGCGCCTTCTAAGAAGCAGCCTCCTTCTAAGAAGCCCTCCCCCCTCCCCCCACCCCCTTGTGTGCGCGCCGCCAGGAAAGGGCGGCCGGAGCGCGCCGCGATCCTGGCGAAGACGACTGCGCGCGCTCGCGGCGCATGCCCCAGGCGGCGCAGGACTCAAGCGTTGGTGAGGCGTCCTGGCTTGCCTGGCCTAGAGGGCCAACAAAGAATGTTCCAATAATCACCTTCTGTGGTTTGCACGAGATGGTCTGAGAACCTTTTTGGCTGAGACCGTCTTGGCTTAAAACACCGGGCGCACGTTCGGAGAATCGTGTCCTCGTTCTCAGGACATTCCTTCGCTCCAAGATAAGGTCGTGGTAGACCTACAGGAAGGCCTGGACGAACGGTCCCTGCTCAAAGGACAGCCCTCTGCGCTGCGTGGCCGGGCTGGGCCAGCCGCGAGACGGGAGCGAGCAGCGAGCGCGCGCGGTGGCCAAGCTGCAGTGGCGCTCGCGAGCAGCGGTGCGCAGGCGCGGTGGCCCTCCAGCGCGGCGCGGCGCTGGTGGCAGCGGCGCGGCAGTGGCGGCGCGTCCTCGGTCGGCGCTCGCGGAGGTCTCGAAGGAAAGAGTCGGGCCGGACGAAAGAGTAGGATCGACCAAAAAGTAAACGACGCCACCCCACCGTTGATCGACACTACGCCGTTGACTCTGCGCTGTTGACACTACGCCGTTGACACTGCGCTGTTGACGCTACGCTGTTGACACTACGCTGCTGACACTGCGCCGTTGACACCACGCTGTCGACACCACGCTGTTGACGCTACGCTGTTGACGCTATCGACACTACGCTGTTGATTCAATTCGCCGTTACGACGTACTCTCAACCTACGGCCCTCCATGTTGCGCTACGGCCCATCGGGGGCCGTAGCTTATACCACGCAAAAGCCCACGCCAGATTTCTTGGTATACGCGAAGCCTCGTGGGGCGGTAGGTGGGTGGTGCCTTTTGTTTTCTGGTCCATAGGGTAAGGCAAGGTGGGGTTTCGAAATCTGCTGCATGCAGCTGGTTTCGGCCCCGCCCCATTCCTGGATACATGGGCGCCTCCTGGCGCCAATGGGCGCTGGGAAAGCCAGCTAAGTGAGCTGATTCTCTATCCTGCCTTTTGCTATCCGACCCTTTCGTCCTTCTCGAAAGAGGAGCCGGAGGAATCTGTGGCATTTATTGACCTCCCGTCTGGGCGTCATTACTCATGTGTCGGTTTGGCAGTTCCTGTCTGTGGTCGATGCGGTGCTCTTCCTGGCACGTTGGTTCTGGACATCGTGGCGAGCTTCTTGTACGAATTACGCGTTCTGGCTAATCTGAATAGTGCTACGTGTTCTTGTCCGCATGTGCAGTAGCGCAAAGTGAGCTCATTGTGTCACGTTGTTCTGTGGCCCTCGTGCCAACTGAACCTCAGACGCCGTCATCGACTGGAGATGTAAGTGATTACTTGCCTCGTTCTCGTGCTGATAGCTGCTTACATTTGCATTACGTAGCTTGCGCATTCTCGTATCGGGTTGACTTCCTCGTGCTCGGCGCACGATCTCGGTGTTGACGGGTGGCATCGTGGGTGCGCTAGCAGTAGGTACAGTACCAAGTTTGCATGTCGTTTACGCCGCGATACTTCTGCGACTATGTAGCTGGTTGGGTGCCCCGCATGTGTACTCCAGATTTCGTAATAAAAGGGAGGGGGTCTGGACCCTCCAAGACAAGCCATTTCAGACCCCCCCCGTGGGAGAACCCGCCAAAACATCGTCCCCAGACCCCCCCAGGCCCTCCAAGATAGCCTGGAAGAGACCCCCCCCCGAAATGAGATCCCCCTCCCTTTATTACGAAATCTGGAGTATGCATTGGGGTGAGCGTTGTTTTTGGGGGCGACGGCAACCGTGCCTTCCGTGTGCAACGCGGCCTGATCCCGTCGTGCAGCGGTATCCCGTCGTGCATCGTACACGGAGGTGGTGAGACCATGCTGGTCTCTCAAGAGGCAATCGGTTGTCGCATGGTTTCTCAAGATGCAGTTGGTTTCTCAAGATGCAGTTGGTTTCTCAAGATACCATGTTGGTTTCTCAAGATGCAGTTGGTTTCTCAAGATGCAACTGGTTGTCGCATGCGCCATTCTTCATGCACCGAATCGCAGCTGAAGCGGCACCGAGGTCTTCCTCAGATGCGCAGTCAGCACACTTCCTGCAGCCGTCAGTACCGCAGGCCACGTCGAATGAGAACGCATATGCATGCTTCATCATCTGCCCATGTGGCGATGGGGCGGTACCCTGTGCGGTTCTTTCCCCGCACTAGTGTCGAGCTGCTGATCTGGCCTGGCGACATATGCGTCTGTTTAGCCGTGGAGTCGGATACGCGCTCTGATAGTTAGACTTGCGAGCTGCACGGGCAAAACCAACAACCGTCTTGCGCTTGGAGCAGATTCGCATGTGCATGAATTCTCTTGTTCCCCCTCCATACCTAGATTCCTCTCTCTCTCTCTCGCGCTCTCTCTTTCTCTCCGTCTCTCTCTCTCTCTCCTCTCTCTCTCTCTCTTTCTTCCTCTCTCTCTCTCTCTCTCTCTTTCTAGCCTCTGTAACTCCACTCCTGCTTCACACGTGTTCATTCCCCATTCCGCGCCCCCCCCAAAAGCTGATTGCGTTCCTCAGGTGCGCACGCTGGACATGGCTGCGGACGTGCTGGACATCCTGAAAAAGAACGGCCTCGAGCGCGGAAAGAACGGCCTGAAGGTGATGCGTCGGAGATGTGAATTGCAAAAATGTGGAGGGGGAGAACGCGTGAGGTCATTGGGTGCATCACGATGATAGCGTATTGGGTGATCAAGGCCCCAGTTCGCCGATGCAGCAATTGCATATTGCATGCGTGTTCACAGTGGTATCGAAGGTCCGTGCAAGGACGCGAAGTAGTGTCACTCGCGAGTCAAGCGTCGCGAGTTTCTTTGCCTTGGGGTCAAGTCATTGCGGGGCATGTCATGTAAAGTACGTGAACAAGCTTCCATCAATCTGCGAGCAGTAGGATTCGACTATGTTTCTTGCATGGCTTCTGCACTGCATCGCTAGAGAATATTCGCACGGACTGGTTCTCTTGACATCGCTCGACAATTTGTGCAAACCCCCATGTGAATGAGATTCAGTTGCCTGCGCGGCTCCGGAATGCATGTGGCTTCTGGAGCATGTTCGGCATAGTCATGTTGAGGATGTCAGGGAAGCAGCGCTACGATGCTGTAGCGTGGCGTGGCCATGATGAATGGTTGTTGCGTTGTTTATTTGGGTCTGCCTAAATGCGTCGTGGGGCTTACTTAGGGCTTCCTAGGGGTCTCCTGGGGCCCTCGAGGGATGATACTCGGGCCCGAAGAGGCTCGGCATAATCATCTTGGGTTGGCTTGTCGGGTCCCGGGGCCTCCCTGGAGCTCTCTTGAAGCGGTGCTGAGCCGTCTGAGGGATGGGTCCTTGCGCCTTCTTGGGGCTGGCTTGGGGCCGCCTGAGGGGTTCACTGGAATCTTCTTGGGCCAGTTTTGAGATCTCGTGAGGCCGTGCTGAGTCGTGCTTTGCGGTTTCCTGGCTTCTCAGGCCGTCTTGGGGCTCTCTTACGCCATGATAAGGCCATCTTCGGCCGAAGAGAGTGGGAAGCCCAAGGCCATTACATATCCTTGGGTTTTTCGGCCTCCCAGGGCTACGCTGGACAAGCGCTCCCAAAGGTGCTCCGAGGCGCTTCCAAAGGGCCTGTCCCCAGGCGCTCTCGGACGCTCCCAGGTGCTTCCAGGCGTTCTCAGGGCGCTCCAAGGCGCTGTCAGGACGATCCCAGTCGCTGACAGGGGCTCCCACGAGAGCTCCCGACCGATCCCAGGCGACCCCCAGGCGCTCTCAGGGACCTCTCAGGGACTCCTGTGCCGCTCCCGAGCGATCACATGACGCTCTCGGCCCGAGGGGCCGTGCCACCGTCGGACCGAGGTATAAGATCGAGGTCGGTTCGGGGAGGGTACCCTAGTGTTCTTCGTGTTTGTTGGACGTCCCATGTTCTTGAGGGACGTTCTTCTGGCCAATGTCCGACTGTACACCAAACGGCGCGATGGCGGGGGATGATGATGAGGAGGAGGAGGATGAAGAGGAGGAGGAGGAGGAGGAGGAGGAGGAGGAGGAGGAGGAGGAGGAGGAGGAGGAGGCGGAGGAGGAGGAGAGGAGGAGGAGGAGGAGAGGAGGAGGAGGAGCGGAGGAGGAGAGGAGGAGAGGAGGAGGAGGAGGAGGCGGGGAGGAGGAGGAGGAGGAGGAGGGAGGAGGAGGAGGAGGAGGAGGAGGAGGAGGAGGAGGAGGAGGAGGAGGAGGGGGGAGAGAAGGAGGGGGAGGAGGAGGGAGGAGGAGGAGGAGGAGGAGGAGGAGGAGGAAGAGGTGGAGGAGGAGGAGGAGGAGGAGGAGGAGGAGGAGGAGGAGGAGGAGGAGGAGGAGGGAGGAGGAGGAGGAGGAGGAGGAGGAGGAGGGGCAGGAGGAGGAGAAGGAGGAGGAGGAGCAGGATGAGGAAGCGGAGCACGGGGAGGATGCACAGAGCATGCCTGGGCCGCTTGCAGGGCGTTCCCAGAGGCTTCCAGCGCTTTCTCTGCGTTTTTTTTTGTTTTCACGGGGGCTTGAAAAAAAACGGGGCGATCCCAAGGGCGCCCTCTAAGCGTCTCCAGGCTCTCCTTACGTCGGGCCCGTCCCTCGACAGGAGGAACCTTCCAAAAAAAATAGCCCGGGGACGATGTTTCGAGTATCTGTTTGAATATGTTGAGTTTTTTTTTGTTTTTGCATATTTGCTGTTTTTCGTCCGAAATCGTCCTGTAGGGGGACAGGCCCGACCGGAGGCTCTCCCCCGGGCGCCGCCCGCGGGCAGGGCGTCGGAGGGCCTCCCCGACCGCGCTCCCCGAGGGCGCTCGCGCGCGCGGGCTCTCCGGGACACCCGGCAGCCTTGGCCTCGCTCGGTCGCCCTGGCGAAGGACGCATGGCCGCTTTCGGCGCCAGGAGGCGCGTGGAGAATCGGCGACGTGAGCTGCTTGGTAAATCCCCCCTTTGCTGCGCCCCACTTTCGTCCAGCCCGCCTTGCCCGCAGGCCGCATCGGTTCGACAGAAGGAAGGGCGCCCTGGCTCGCCCTTGCTTCCAAACACCCCTCCCTTGCCCCTTGTTGGCGGCCGGGCGTCGGCGCTTATCACCGGCGCCGCCCCGTTGATTTTCAATCGGGAGCCTTGAGACGGGGGTCAATGCAAACGGGGGTCAGCCAGGGCACCAAATCATGCAGGATCCTGCGAAGACCCCCTCTGGCTGACCCGGGTCAGCGAGCCGCTCGTGGCCGCGAGGCGGCCGCGCATATTGGCTGGCCCGGGTTTGCGAAGATCTGCGTTGCAGTTGTTTTTTCCTGCATTGCAGTTTTTGTGGTCGAGGGTGAGAAGGCTTCCTGTGGTCGAGATCCTGAGCTCGAGGTCGGTACGGGGAGAGTGCACGCCGGTCGTTGAAAGCAGGTATTCTTGGATTCCCAGACCCCAATCTACTTCCAGCGCCTTCCTACTTCAAGAATCGACACGCTTTTGCTGCGTTTTGTTTTTCCCTGGGGGGGCCTGGACCCCATCCACTTAATCCGCCTTCCTACTTCATGTTTTTGCCTGCTTCTTCTGACCGACGTGTACCACGCTGTTCTTCGTGCGCGTGGGATGTTCTCGTAGGGGGCCACATGCGAACCCTCCCCCTCAGAAATCGTGGAGGGTAATTAGGGGTAGGGTTCGCATGTGGACCCCTATCTCGTGCATCCTGGGTGAGGGCAGCCTCGAATCTTCGTCAGCCTGGGCCGGCGGAGAGTCTCATGTCCTTCGGGGGTGGACAGAGCAAGCAGTGGCGAGGCGTCCTGGCTCGCCTAATTATAGCCCTTCCAAACAATGTTCTAAGAACCTTGTGTGGTTTCCACGACATGTTCTTGGAGCATTTCTGGCGGAGTCTGTCCTGTTTTTAACAAATCGGGTTTATGTTCTAAGAGCCTTGGTTTTGTTGTTAGAATATTTTTAGGTTCGAAAAACATTCCGTGGTAGTACTATAGGAATGCCAGGACGGTCGGTCCCTGCTCAATACCCTGACACGTCGATTAGCGAATTGGCCGTTTACGGTTCGCGAGAGGGCGTCGCGGCCGTCCTTTTTGCGGGTCCGGGTCCGTCGGTTTCGGTCCCATGCCGTTCTCAGTAAAGGGAGGTTCACTAAAGGGAGGTTTGGCCACCGCCGAGGTGTGGATGCTTTTTCGGCGAGGACCATCGAGGAGCATCTGTGGTCATCGCGCCGACCAGACAACGACAGATGCACGGGGAATGGACGTCCGAGCGATGGCAAGGCGGCGGTCGAAAAGGACCCACGTTTTCAGTTTGGCGGGCTCCCAGTACCAGGCTTGCAGCGTCCAGTGGCAAGAAGACGTAGCAAAAAAGGCCGACTCAGGAAAGTGCGCAGCGAGTTGAGCAGGACGAGCGTAGTTGGGCAGAAAGAAGAGCGCCTGAGACAAGTGAATGACAATTCATACTCCTACTTCAGTCTGTATCATTTTGCTCGGCAGGATCGCCTTGTCAACCGCGCCTTACTGGCAACACCTCAGCTGAAGATGTGGCCTCCCGCCTCCTCCACCTCCTCCTCCTCCTCTTCCTTGTCCTCTCTTCTTCCTTCACCGCATGGCTTCATTCCTCCCTTCTGATACCCCCCGAGCATATTTCTTGCTCGTCATCTGTCTTCCTTGTTCCACTTTGCCCCACCCCTTGCATTCCTCGTAATGTTTCATAGAAGCAACACATCATGCATGCAATTGTTGGCATGCTGCATGTTCGGACTCCGTGAAGTGTGCAGTGTCCACGCTCTGTCGCACAGGTGAACATGATGGCCGAGCTGCCCTCCAACGTGTTCCTTGCAGAGGATGCTCCTTGCGCCCTCCGTGGCGGTGGAACGGGGCGCACATGAGTTCACCACTGGAGGAGAGGGAGAAGACGGAGGAAAGGGGCGCGCGCCGAAATTCGTTCCAAACGAAAGTGAGCTTTTCTTGATGGTTTTGGTGTGCAGGCGCGCCCTGTCGCGCGGTGGTTTCCATGCGCATCGTAGAGCGTGCTGACGCATACGCGAGGAATTCGCTCTGCACGTTGCGAGGAGGAATTCTCTCTGCACGCAGCGTGCCCATCACGCGTGGCTTGAGCTACTTCGCAGACGCTTTCTGGCGAGGTCCTTCGAGGGCCCTCTCGGGGCCCGCCGGGGCCTCCGATTGCCCGGAGCTCCCGGCAGCCATGCTCGACAGTTGGCAAAAGCAACGCCGCCGAAAGGGCCGCCGAAAGAGCCGTCGAAAGGGCCGCCGAAATTGCCGCCGAAAGGGCTGCCGAAAGAGCCGTCGACAGGGCCGCCGAAATTGCGGTCGAAATTGCCACCGAAATTGCCGCCGAAATCGCCGCCGAAATTGCCGCCAAACTCGCCGCCGAAATTACCGCCCAAATTCCAGACTGTGCCGCCGAAAAGAGGCCGAAATTGACCTTGGCTGTGACTCAATGCCTGTGTCCGCGGCGTCATCGAGCTTGATAAAAATAATGATTTCGCTTGGGACAGGGCAATGGCAACTTCGGCGGCTAAACTTCGGCGGCGATTTTGGTGGCTGAATTTCGGCGGCGATTGTGGCGGAGTTTGCAATTATTTCGGCGGCGATTTCGGCCGCGATTTCGGCGGCGATTTCGGCGGCAAGTTCGGCGGCAATTTCGGCGGCAATTTCGGCGGCGATTTCGGCGGCGATTTCGGCGGCAATTTCGGCGGCGATTTCGCCAGCGATCTCCGCTGCCCCTTCGGCGGCCCTCCCGGCGGCCCTTTCAAGGACCATGACGGCGGTTTTGCTTTTGACAGCTGTCGACGAATGCTGCAGGGAACACGCAGCACTCGGCTGTGGCAAAGAGTCGATGTGCGGCGACGCAGGCTGACGCGCCCTCAGCGCGATGATGCATGTAACATTTGTTATCTTGTGGTCTTGGTGGTGATGATGGCGACGGCCGCGGCGATGTTTGGTTCACAATAGATGCTCGCCGGGGGGCGTTGCAGGCGGGCCTGCGCGCCCAGCATTGCATGTATATATATATATATATATATATAATATAATATAATATAATATAATATAATATAATATAATATAATATATATATAACCCCCCAAAAAAAACACGCGCAACCCTCTTGGAATTCGGCGGCTATTTCGGGGGTCGTGGTGGCTCCAAAGCGTGGTCTTCGGTGACCGGAGAAGGAGGAGGAATATGAGGTGGCCTCTTGGGGCTCTCTTGGGGCCTCTTGGGTGCCCTTATGGGCCTTTTAGGGACCTGTGGGGGCCTCCGAGGGGCCCCTGGGCCTTCGGAGGCCGTTTCGGGGGCCTCCCTGGATCGTCGGCGCTGCAGGGCCGCCTTGGCCCTGGGGTCCTCTTTGGGCCGGCTACTTGGCATCGCTCGGACGTGTGCATTTTTCTTTCGGCGAGGACCATCGAGGAGCATCCTTGATCACTTGGCGAAGGAACCACGCACGAAACCGAAAAAAAAACACAGGGAATGGGCGTCCGAGCGATGGCCAGGGCTAAGAACTATCCCGGGGCATCTGTTGGGCCTCGGCGGCCTTGGGCCCCTCTTGGGGGCCGTTTCAAAACAAGATGGAAGGCCTTTGGGACGTCTGCGGCTGTCGGCAGCCCGAAATGACGCTTCAAAATAAGATTGAAGGCCTTCGGGACGTCTGGCGGCTGTCGACAGCCCGACATGACGCGACATCTAAACAATTGAAAAGCTTCATGGACATCTATGACTTGGGGCGTCCTGGAGGCCCTCTTGGAGCAACCTGGAGCGCCTGAGGGGCCTACTGGGCTGTCTTGAGGCCATCTTGGTCCGTATTGGGTCCATCTTGGGCGGTTTTGAGGGATACGCCGAGACCCACTTGAAAGTGGGGTGACAGTGCCCAAATTGCCAACATAACGCACGCCAGCAACCCTTTTTTGCAACCAAAAGGAGGCGGCGGATCGAAAACGCCGCCCCCTGCTTTTTTGAGAAGCGCCTCTGGGGTCAAACGTTTTGACCTGGCTTGGCCAAGCTGTCGGGCTATGCTTTCCCCCAGCAGCTCTGGAAACTTTTCGGAGGACACTGGGGAGGCTGAGGGGGAGGCTCAAAAGAGGGATGATGATGAGGATGAGGAGGAGGAGGAACAGGAAGAGGATGATGATGAGGAGGAGGAGGCCTCTTGGGGGTCTCTTGGGGCACTCCTGGGGCCTCCTGGGGGCCTCCTGGAGGCTTCCTGCGGGCCTCTTGGGGGCATCCTTGGCCCTCTTGGGGATCTTTGGAGCTTCTTGGGGGCCTCATCGGCCGTCTAAGGGCGTTCCTGGCCCGTCTGACGCCGTCGGAAGCCGTCTTCGAAGTTTCGCTGGGCGGATTTGAAGCACTTCAGGGTCGTCTGGGAAATCTCCGGGCTGTCTTGGGGCCCTCTTGAGGCCATTTTGGGAGGTTCATGGGCTGTCTCAGGACCCTCTTGGGCCGACACGGGGCCATCTTGAAGGCCTCTTGGGCGCTCTTAGGGCGATCTGGGGGTCTTCTTGGGCCGTCTTGGGTCCTCGGAGGGCCGAAAAGGAGCACATGCAATATTATCTAGACAGCCATATTGAAATACATGATTTAGCTATCTTCGGGCCTTCCTGGGAATCCTTCGGGACGCCTCCTGGGCCGTCTTGGAGGCCTCCTGGGGGCCTCTTGGGCCGTCTTGGGCCATCTTGGGATGTCTGGGATACATATTGTGGCTATCTCGGGCTCTTTTGTGACTGACTTGGCCGTCTTGGAGGCGGTTTATGCATTGCCTCCCACGCTTCCCAGGCTTTCTGGCCCGCCGGCGGGTTGGGCCGAGACCGATTGGAACTTTTGTAAAAGTGCCAGAATTTCCGGAAATCTAGCACGCCGTGCACCCCTGTAACAAGCCAACAGGGGGCGGCGGATCGAAGACGCCTACGGCGAATCACCGCCGCCTGTTGCCTTTTGGAAACGCCCATGCGGCCAACCGTTGGGCCGAAGTCTGGCCAAGCTATTGAAATATGGAATCCCCCTAGCCGTTGTGGAACCTTCTGGGGGAACATTGGCGAGAGGAACAGAAAAGAGGCAGACACGGAGGAGGACGAGGAGGAGGAGAAGGAGGAGAAGCAGGAGGAGGACCAGTGCCAACCCAGGACGGATCAGCGATGTTGCAGTACTGTAAACCTTCCCTCCAAGGCCCCTCTTCATTGAAAGAAAATATCTGTATTGTGGGAAGTGGCCCATTCGGAGGTAACAGTCTGATAATCCTCTATCTTGCCAGTCCCAGGACTTCAACGCCGCGGATCGGCGTGACTGCTCGCCAGGACAGTCTTACATCGCGCCACAAACGCCTCACCTGGGACTTCACAGCAGGGCGAAGCAGCGTGGCTGGCGCGTCCTGACAATCCCAAATCGGGATCTCGACCACACGAGTGCTTCAAGCATTCGCAAGCTTTCAAGACGAAGGTGCGCGGCACTAAGGCGAGAGCTACATATTGACAGCGACCCGCCCTCCATACCCATCGGTCGTTGAAAGTAGGTATCCTTGGACTCCCAGAGCCCAATCTACTTCGAGCGCGCTCCTGCTTCGAGAGTCGACATGCTTCTGCTGCGTTTTGTTGCTCTCTGGGCGGGCCCGAACCCAATCGACTTTACCGCCTTTCTACTTCATGAGTCCGCCTACTTGTTCAAACAGATGAGTTTTATTTGTTGTTAGCAGCCGAAGGCGAGCGCGCCAACGGCGAGCAAGGTCCGAGCGGGCCGCGCGGGGGCCTAAGTTACTTAGCATCAGCAGACCAGGAGGTAGCCGAAGAGGGGCAGAGCAGCAAAACTGCCAGGGTCTGCGAACGTGCTAGAACCGATGAGTGCGCGAAGCTGCCGCAATTTTTGGGGGGACGGATACGTGGCGTCCACGAGGCGCCCGCCCCCCAGACGCTGACGGCCGCCCAGCCGGCAAAGCCTCGGCAGAGCTGCAGCATGGCTTGGAGACGCAGGGAAGAACCGCGAACAAGCTCTGTCGGGGGAGTCCATGGATACGGGGCGTGAAAACGACCACAGCCACTGCTTTTCTTTTTTGTGCCGCCTTCCAGCCCGCAGAAACAAAGAAGTGGTTGTGGTCATTTTCGTTGAGCTTGGCACCAGGGAAATGACCACAACCACTGCTTCGGTTTCTGCGGGCTGGAAGGCGGCGCAAACAAAAAGCAGTGGCTGTGGTCATTTTCTCGTCCTGCAATGGATTTTGTCTCTTGGGGCCCTTTGGCTCGTTTGAGCGTTCTTGGGGCCCCTCGGGCGGTCTTGTGGAGGCCACCTTGAGCGGTCTGAGGGCCCGCAGGTAGACTGTATTCATTCGTGTCTCGGCGATGGGTATACAAGGAAGGCGATCCGCTCTCGGGACGCATCCTGATTTTAATCTCGGTGAAGATGTCTGTTTCTTCGGTGCCCATGTACCCATCCTAGCATTGATGTGCTCCTCCAGCCAGCCTGCGTCTGGGTGGCCTCCTCACCCACACATCTGGCCGCGTCGGTCCGTGAGGTTCCTTCGGGCCCAGACCACGGGGCAGGATGGGCGCCCACCGGGTCCTGTGCCATGGCGCCCAGAGTGTAGGGGAACCCCTCGCCTCGGCCTAGGACTGGTGGAGGATCGGAGGAGGTCCAGGCTCGGAGTGTTGGGGGGAACCCCTCGCCCCTGGACCCTTCTGGGGGTCGTGCATTCGCTACGCGAATTATACTGCGCAAGCACACTACGCAGATACGCTGCGCAGATACACCGCGCAAATACACCGCGTGGATTCTCTCACGCTCAGGCGCAAGTCTCCCGGCCGTGGTCCGTTCTTCTGGGCGGCTCCTGCCGTGGCGACGAGAGGCTCCTGCAGGAGACCCGGGAGAGGGAGCGGCCGCGCGCCGGGGAGGGCTGTCCGTGGCCTCGAGGGCCCCCCCCGCTCCGGCAGGAGTTCCTCGAGTACTTCGACGGCTTCTCCATCGGCAGCAACGACCTCACGCAGCTCACGCTGGGCCTCGACCGCGACTCCGGGCTCGTCGCGCAGTACTTCGACGAGGCGGCGCCGCGCCGCCCTCGGCATCGCTCGGACGTGTGCATTTTTTTCTTCGGCGAGGACCATCGAGGAGCATCCTCGATCATTTGGCGAAAAAACCACGCACGAAATCGAAAAAAGCACAGGGAATGGACGTCCGAGCGATGGCGAGCGCCGCCGCGCCGCCGCTCCTCCCCCCCCCCCGGCGGCGCGCGGCCTGCCGCTCCGCCGGGCTCCGGCCCTGGGCCGCCACGCTTCGGCGCGACACGCTGGGAGGAGGAGGAGGAGGAGGAGGAGGAGGAGGAGGAGGAGCAGGAGCAGGAGGAGGAGGAGGAGGAGCAGGAGGAGGAGGAGGAAGAGGAGGAGGAGGAGGCGGAACCTGAAGTCGGGCGTGTCTCTCTACAGGAGGATTCAATGATAGTCCAAAAATAGTCTGGGGATTTTTCTGTTGATTTGTTGTTAGACTATTTGGGGGTATGTTTTGAGTATTTTTCGTTTTTCGCCCAAGATCCCCCTGCAGGGGGAGATGCCCGACCTGACGCTAACCGTTCACCGCCCAGCAGACCACGCCCAGCCCAACCCGGAGGCTTCAATTTGCCCTCCATGTCCATCGGGGGTGGACAGAACTCCCAACAGTGACACGTCGATTAGTGAATTGTCCGTTTTCGATTCTCGAGAGGGCGCCGTGGCCGTTATTTTCCAGGCCTGCGCCCGCCAGGTTTGGGCCTCAGGTCGTTTTCACTAAACCACGTTCTACTAAAGGGAGGTCTGTCCATTCCCGAGTCCGGTGGGGGGGGGGTCGGGGAACACTGCGAAGACACATCTTGGAGTCCGTCGGCCTCCCAACGCGAATTTCGGGCCTTCGGGCTGGGTTGGGGTGCTCTGGTAGGTAGTCATGTAATGGAGGATGACGATTAATAAATGACCGGGGGTCGTGTTCACGCGGCGGCGCCCGGGATGACGATTAGCAAAAACCGGCCGCGGGCTGGAACACTATGTTTTAAAATCGCTCTCCTCCAGTCCGAAAAAAAGGTGCAGAAATAGCAGGAAGCCATGTTTTAAGTCGTTTTCTCCCAGTCAGAAAATTGTGCCGAAATAGCAGAAACTATGTTTTGAATCGTTCTCCTCCAGTCAGAAAAAGTATGCAGAGAACTATTGTTTAAAAAACCGTTCTCTCCCAATTTTTTGTATTGATCGTCATCCCGCAGTATGTCCGCTTCCCCAGCCCCCCGAGGCGCCGACGCCCCGGGCCCGCCGCAGCCTCCCGGGGCCCGCGAGACGGGGCGCGACGCGCTGTCCGCCCGCGGGGCACACCTCAGGAGGTCACCACCCACCAAACCACCCCTGCCCAACCCGAAGCCCTCGATTTGCCCTCCATTTCCAGTGGGGGGGGTCGGGGAACGTTGAAAAAACACATGGAACCCGTACCCCCCCCCCCGACCCGAAATTGGGGTCAAATTCGGGTCTTCGGGTTGGGTTGGGATGGTCTGGTAGGTTGTCAGGAGGGGAAAAAGCACACAGACACAATGAATCGTCGATTCCCACGAAAATATGGGAAGATATGGGAAGTGGGGGGGGAGACTAAAGCCAGGAAAGTATGGGAACATATGGGGGATCATTTTATTTGTGTGTATTCATTTGTGTGTCCCATGGCCCCTTGAATACCGTGTCGCCGGGGCCGCCGCGGCGACAGACCGTGCGAAAGTTCTCGGCCGTGGGCCTTCTCAGAAGGCGTCGGGGCAGGCCCTGGGGGGGTCCTTACCTGATGAGGGCGGCAGCGGCATCGTCCATGGCCAAGCCACGATGGAAGTGCCATCGGGTTCCAGACCCTGGATTTCTTATCCGGCGTTATGATGTTCCAACATACTGTAGCCTTGATCACCAGAATGAATTTCGAGCACCAAGAAAGCACCCCCAAACTCGAGGGTGTCGGGCCCTGGGAGACACTCTTTCGATACTGTTGCGACACTCTTTCGACACTCTTTCGACACTTCTCCGGGTGCTCGAAATGATTTCTGGGATGTGGTCCTAAAGTAGGATGGGAACACCATAAACCTACACCGATCCTGGCCAGGCCGATCTTGGGCCCAGGATCGGTGTACATCGATCGTGGGCCCAGAATGATCCTTGCCAGGATCGGCGCAGATGTCTGATAGTTGGCGTCCTCCCACCATGGGCTTTCCGAGTTCACGGTGGAGACACTTGCCCGCCGCAGGCTTCTTGTTTCTGGAATGGATGGGAGCAGCATGAATCCAGCGGTCCCTTGGCCAGTGCCCTCACCGAAAATCTCTGCCTTCGGAGGAGGTTCGTGAGGCTCGGGGAGCACCTCCGAAGGCCGGAGGCCTGCTGAGCCTTCGAGAAAGGCCCGCCCCCTCTGCCTCCTCTTCTTTCTTTCTTCTCCTCCTCCTCCTCCTCCTCCTCCTCCTCCTCCTCCTCCTCCTCCTCCTCCTCCTCCTCCTCCTCCTCCTCCTCCTCCCCCCCCTCCTCCTCCTCCTCGCCCTCGCCCTCCTCGGGGCAGGCCTTCGCCGGATCCCCTCTGGCGGCCTGCACGGCCGCGGGGGGGGCAGGGGCGGAGACCGTTCCCTCGCCGTGCGGGGCGGCAGAGGGCGGGGTCGGAGGCCTCCCAAGCGGCGTGGTGACCACACTCTTTCGACACTCTTTCGACACGTTTCTGGGTGCTCGATGTTCTTTCTGGGATGTGGTCCTTCAGTACGATGGGAGCAGCATAAACCTACACCGATCCTGGCCAGGCCGATCCTGGGTCCAGGATCGGTGTACATCGATCATGCATGGGCCCAGAATGATCCTTGGCAGGGTCGGAGACCTCCAAGCGGCGCGGTGGCCACACCGCGTGGGGAGTCGGAGGGGGCTCGGCGTCACCGCGCGGCTTCTTGGGACGCGGGCCGCGCTCCGAGGACGCCTCGAGCGGTCGGCGGGGCCTCCAGGCTCCAGGGCCCCCGAAGCCGTGCGGAGCTGCATCGCGCGCCGAGGTCGCTGGGCGGGCGTCGCGCAGAGGGAGGGGCGAGAAGCGGAGGGGCAGCGAGGGTGGCAGAGGAGGGGCCCGGGTGAGGGCTCCCAGGGGGGCCCTGTAGGGGCCCAGAGGGGGACCTCCCGGGCCCGACACGGGCACCTCTCTTTCCCCCCCCCCCCTCGCTCGCCTCATGATGTTCCAGCCTACTCCAGCCTTGATCGCCAGAACGAATTTCGAGCACCACGAAAGCACCCCCAAGCTCGAGGGTGTTCACGTGTCGGGCCATGTTTCGACACTCTTTCGACACTTTTCTGGGTGCTCGAAGTTATTTTTGGGATGTGGTCCTTAAGTACGATGGGAGCAACACAAGCCAAGGGAGGAAAAATCACCCGGGCCAGACAACTGGCGTTTACTACACGGTCTTGGGAGTTTTCTTGCAAGCCCTGCCCTACTCGATTCCTCCTTTGGGTTCGCTTACCGAACAGCCTCGCTTGGCGGGGTGGCTGTTATGGGGGTGGATTTTGTGCCCCCCCCATTGATCGGAGGTCGATAGACCTCCTACCCTGACACGTCGATTTAAGGAATTGGCCATTTCCGGTTTGCGAGAGGGCGTCGCGGCCGTCATTTTTGCGGGTCCAGGTCCGTCGGTTTCGGTCCCAGGCCGTTTTCACTTAGGGGAGGGGAGGTTTACTAAAGGGAGGTTTGTCCACCGCCGAATTGAGCGACGCCCATGCTGGGGATTCCGAGGTCACCACGCGGTCCGTCACCGCACGGTGATTGGACCCCCCGATGGAGCCCTCGGCCTGCGTCGCCTCCTCGGGGCGGCCGCTCGCCGCTGCGGCGGGCGCTGGCCGGGGACGCCCTCGGACCGGGGCGAGCTCCTCCTCCCCCTCCTCCTCCTCCTCCTCCTCCTCCTCCTCCTCCTCCTCCTCGTCCTCCTTCTCCTCCTCCTCCTCCTCCTCCTCCTCCTCCTCCTCCTCCTCCTCCTCCTCCTCTCTGGGCGGCGGTCAGCATTGTTGAGTTCTGTTACCTTCGGAGGCGAAGCCTGCAGTCTTCGCGGATCCACCTCGCCGGCAGAGCAATAGCCTTTCATACAAGAAGTTCTGAGGTGGAGAGGGCGCCAGCTTTCGACCTTTCTCAGGCGGGGACGGATCGAGAGGAGGAGGGCGGAGGAGGAGGAGGAAGTAGTAGGAGGGAGGAGGACGAGGGGAGGGCGAAGAGGGAGCAGGGAGGGAGAGGGAGGATGACGATGATGGGGAGGTCAGGTCAGGAGGGTGAGGGGGAGGAATACGATGGAGGAGGAGAAGGATGAGGAGGATGAGGAGGTTGGAGGGAGGCGGCTCGGTCAGCTTTGTACGTGTATGTGCGTCTGTGTGTTGTGTGCTGTGTGTTGTGTGTGGTATGTGTGTGTGTGTGTGCGTGTGTGTATGTGAATGTGTGTGTGTGTTGCTGGGTGTATGAATGGGTGCGTGTGGGCGTGTTGTTGTATTTGTTGTGTATGTTGTGCGTGTGGTGCTTGCTGTGCTTGTTGTGTGTGTGTTGTGGTTGTTGTGGTTGTCGTGCTTGTTATGTGCATTGTGCTTATTGTGTGTATTTTGTGTTTGTTGTGTATGTTGTGTATGGTGTGTATGTTGTGTGTGGTGTGCTTGTAGTGTTTGTTGTGTTTGTTGTGCGTGTTATATGCTGTGTGTTGCGTGTGTGTATGTCGTGTGTGTGTGTTGTGTGAGTGTTGTGTGTGTGTTGTGCGTGTTGTGTGTCGTGTATTGTGTGTTGTGTGTTGTGTGTGTCTGTGTCTGTGTCTGTGTCTGTGTCTGTGTCTGTGTCTGTGTCTGTGTGTCTTTGCGTCGCTGTGTTCGTGTGATTGTGTGTATGTGTGTTTGTGTTCCTGTGTGTGTGCGAGGAAGAAAAAGAGAAGGAGAAAGAAGAGGAGGAGGAGGAGGAGAAGGAGAAGGTGGAAAAAGAGGAGGAGGAGAAGGTGGAGGAAGGGAGCCGACATCCTACCACGCTCTTGAAGAACATGGGTTTCAGTCAAGTGGCCATGGGTTTCAGGCAACGATGCGGGGTCGCATCGGCGTCATCACGGGACTGCCTCGTCATGGGGCCATCTCTCTTCGCAACGGCGCTCCGCCCTCCTCCTCCTCCTCCCTCCCCCCCTCCCCCCCCCCCTCCTCCCGCACCGTCCTCCCTTCCCTCCCCTTCCCCCCCCCCGCTCCCGCAGCATCGCCTCTCCTCCCTCCACCCCCCTCCCTCCTCCCGCCGCCCCTCTCGTCCCCGCCCCCCGTCCACTTCCCGCGCCGCCGCGCCCGCGCCCGCACGGCGCTCCTGCCCCGCGCGGCCCCCCCCCCCGCGACATCCCCTGCCCCCCGCCCTCCCCTGCCCTTCTAGTAAGTCCCTGACCCGCCCCCCGCCCTGCCCTGCCCCCTCCCCTCCTCCGCGGCCGCGTGCCCCCCCTTCCTGCCACCTCCGCGGCCTCCCCGCGCCGGTCCTCCTCGCCCGGCCGCCCCCTTCCCCCTGCCCTGTGTGCCGCCCCGCCCCCGATCACTGCCCTGGCGGCGGCGCCCTCGGGCCCCTCCCCGCGGCGGTGCCCCGGAGCCGCCCCGCGGGGCGGGCGGCGTCCGCAGAGCGGCGGGCGCAGGAGAACCCGGCGGTGCTGAAGGGCCTGTCCATGCTCATCCAGGCCATGGTCCTCGTCGACGTCGTCGTCCTCCTACAACTCCTCCTCCTCCTCCTCATCCTCCTCATCCTCCTCCTGCTTCTTCTCCTGCCCCTCCTCCTCCTCCTCCTCCTCCTCCTCCTCCTCCTCTTCCTCCTCCTGCTCCCCCTCCTCCTCCGCCTCCTCCGCCTCCTCCGCCTCCCTCCGCACCCTCTCGGCCCCCTCTCCGCCCAACTCCCCGTTTCCCCTTTTCCTCCTTCCGACCCCCATCCGCCCCTTCTCCGCCGCCCTCTTCGCTTCCCCTCCTCCTCCTCTCCTCCTCCTCCTCCTCCTCCTCCTTCTCCTCCTCCTTTGCCTCCTCTCCTCCTCCTCCTCCTCCACCAGTGCGCCCTCCTCTCGAACCTCACGGTGCCCCTCCTTGTTCCATTCCATCTCCAGTGATCCCCTAAGCTTGACATTGGCAACAGCTTCACGGATGGACGGCGCGCTGTGTTCAACATGCGATTTTTGGCCTTAGCGCCGCGCGCAGTCGCTGTAACCGGCTCCCAGAGCTTCGCGGCGTGAGGGCGGGCCGTTTTCGACGAAACAACACACATACCCACAGGGGGGTCGGAGAGGGCTATGGGTGCGTGTTGTCGGATAGGGGTCCCCGCTCGAACGGGAGCGTTCCCCAGGGTCCGACAACCCGCACCCAATTCCCATAGCCAGCTTTCCTCCCAACGACCCCCTTGTGGGTGTGGGTGTGTGCTGTTCGTTCGTCAGTTCCCAAGAGTTTGGGTCTCGCCTCGGCGCCGGGCGCATCCGCCTTCACGCTCTGCAGGAGTTCGCGGACGCAGCGCGGGTGGCTTCCAGCATGGAACTCTCAGTTTGGCGCCGCGCACGCTCGTTTTGAAAGTTTGCAAGACGGTCATCAAAAGTTTGGGTCTCGCCTCGGCGCCGGGCGCACTCGCCTTCACGCTGCTGCAGGAGTTCGCGGACGGAGGGCGGGCGGCTTCCAGCATGGAATTCTCAGTTTGGCGCCGCGCGCGCTCGTTTTGGAAAGCTTGCAGGGAGGTTCACGGATGGAGGCGGAGCGCCGCGCACGCTCGTCGTCAGTCAGCATTTGCAGGAGTTTCGCGCGAGGGCGGGCCGTTTGTAAAACCCAGTCCTCGCCTTCAGCGCCGCGCACACTCGTTCTACAGTGGGGGCGCGCATCAAGAAACCATCTGCTTCTCGTCAGGGTACCCTGGGTTTCCTCGCTCCGCGCGCTGCGCGGCGGCTCGCCGCGGCCGTCAAAGGGGCTGCTGCGTTCCGGGTGCTCGAGGTTTCCCTTCAGTTGCACCTCGCGCGCGGGCTTTCAGGGTTAGGTTTCTTGCGAGGGTTTCTTTCGGCCGCGCCCGCACTGTACTAGAATGCTGCAAAGATCTTCACAGTTTGAGGGCGGCTCCTTCTCGAAAGGTGGTTCTCGTCACCAGCGCCGCGCACCTCCGTCTGCAGACACTGCAAGAGCTTCGCGGGCTCCCAGGGCTCACGTTCCAGAAGGGGTGTTTCGGAACGTCTCAGGGCTGTCAGGGCGCAAGGGTTCTGTATATTCGCGACGTTGAAGTCCCAGGAGTGGTGTGCTGGCACAGTTCGGGGTCGAGATCAGTGTTCTGGCACGCTTCAGGATCTTCCAACGGTTGTCTCCCAACGGGGCACTTCCCTGAGTGAAGACAAAAGTCTTGAAGGGGCCTATGCGGAGGGAGCTTGGGGGGAGGGCTTCTTTCAACCCAACATGGTTGATGAGTCTTGGGTTTACGCTGGTCCTCCTCCTCCTCCTCCTCCTTGATGCTGATGCAGCTTTGTCCGCACTTATCGTATCACACACCTTTTGGCTTCGCCCTCGGGTACTCCGTGGGTTCAGCATGCCAGCGAACGTGTCCTCCGCGATCTTACATCTTCCCTCCCCCAGCACGACGTCCCTCGTCGCCTGCCCGCTATTCGTTGACGCACAGGCGCGCGGCAAATACACGGTCGGGGACTTTCGGATTGCGTGTCGTTCCGCCACCAGTTCTGGCACACCGCGAGGCGGCGCGACAGTCTGTCCACTTCCTGGTCCATACAAGCTGGTCGTTGAAAGTAGGTATTTTGGGATTCCCAGATCCCAATCTACTTCAAGCGCCTTCCTACTTCAAGAGTCGACACGATTTTGCTGTGTTTTGTTACTCTCTGGGGGCGCCTGGACCCAATCCACAAAATCCGCCTTCCTACTTCATGCTTTTACCTACTTCTTTCGACCGACGTGTAAGCCAAACCGAATGTGGTGTTTGGGTCCTTGGCCCCCATAGTCACACCCTGGACTCCCAGGTCCCACTCTCTTTCAGGCGCCTTCCCATCTCAAGGGCCGCATCTGGTGTTCCCGAGGGGTGCGGGCGGACAACCCGACCTGGCTTCAACGCCTTTCTACTCATGATTGTAATGGCCTCTGGCCAGTGCCGCCGATCCGGGTGGCTCCGGATTCGGTGATCTTCGCGGCTCTGTGGCCTCCTCCCTCCTCGATTCTTCCCGTTCTCTTCCTTCTCCTCGAGGTGGGTGCCTGAAGCGGTCCCGGGCGGGGGTCCAGGGAGGGCTCCGAGGGGGGGGGTCCTGGGGGAGATAGCGGCTAGATTTATGATGCTCCACCTACTTGAGCCTTGATCACCAGAAAGAATGTCGAGCGGCAGAAAAAGTACCCCGAAACTCAAGGGTTTTCGCGTGTCGGACCCTGGGGCACACTCGCCCGACACTGTTCCGACACTGTTTCGACACTCTTTTGACACTTTCTCGGGTGCTCGAAATTATTCCTTCTGGGATGCGGTCCTTGAGTAGGACGGGAACAACAGAATCCGAGGGGAGGGACCTGGGGGAGGTAGCGGCTCGATCTGAGGGGGGTCACGATTTGTTTGCCCATTTCTTCCGTTCGGGTGGTATCCTGCTCCTGCCCAGGGCGTGTGGGTCGGGCCTCGGGCCTCCGTTGCCGAGAGAGAGGGCCACGCCGTGCTTCCGTTCGCGGGTGGCGCCGCAGCTGAACGAGGCCCGTCGCCGCGGAGGCTCTTGCAGGTGGCTCGCCCTGCAAGGAGGAGGAGGAGGAGGAGGAGGAGGAGGAGGAGGAGGAGGGGGAGGAGGAGGAGGAGGAGGAGGAGGGGGAGGAGGAGACGAGGAGACGAGGAGACGAGGAGGAGGAGGAGGAGGAGGAGGAGGAGGAGGAGGACCACGACAGCGACGACAACGACGAGGAGATGGGCGGCGACGGCACGGGCTGCAGCAGGGCGCCCCCCCCCTCCCCGGGGCGCGCCATTAGGCCGCCAAGAAGAAGGGCAAGTACGTGGGCATCTGCGGCCAGGGGCCGTCCGACAAGCCGGACGGGAGGGAGGGAGGGGGAGGAGAAGCTAGGGGGCCAGATACGAACCCTACCCCTACCCCCCACGATTTCTGAGGGGGAGGGTGGGGTTCATTTCTTTCGGGAGGTGGTAGGGGTAGGGTTCGCTTGTGGCCCCCTAGAAGCGGGAGCGGGGGAACGTGAGACTGGAGTGCGCTGGAACTCGGCTTAGCCGAAGAGCCTTTCGGCGAGCCGCCCATCCCGGAGTGTGGCGGTCCAGCTTTCGTGGCATGCTTGCAGCGGGAGCTCGCGCTGAATTGCAGATTGGGTCTCGTCATTTTCACGATGGCCCCGTCAGGCCAGCCCGAGTCCCCCGAACCCGAGTCTTACGTCTTCACGAGAGAAGCCCGGGGGGGCAGAGGTCGGATTGTCAACCGAGTTCTCGCCAGGCCGAGCAGCGAAGCCGCCCGTGGGGGCCCTCTCGTCGGAGGAGAAGCCAGGGGGGAGCAGAGGTCGGATGGTCGACAGAGCTCTCGCCAGGTCGAACAGCGAAGAAGCCGCCCGTTGGGGGGGCTCTCGTCGTCGTCTCGTCTTCCCCCTCCACACGTTCTCGCCGACGTGCCTTGGCTGTGCCGGCCTCGGTGCGACGCTGTAGCATCGAGGGGTCCCCTTCCCATCAGTTGGGAAGCTGGCGATGTTCACTGTTTCAAGTGTGTCGTGTACGGGGGGGAGCCTGTCTACAGTAACTTAGGCGGCCACGGTGTTTTCACGATCACGCGCTGCTTGGCACCACAAAAACAAGGGGCCCTCTGGTTGACTTCTTGTGTTGGGGGGGGGCCCTGCGGCCGCAGCTTTCGTTGCGGGCCTGCACCCGCAGGGGCTTCGTCCCCAGGGCTCCCTTTCACGCCAGCGCGGTTTGCCAGAGGCGGTTCCGTCCACCCCCGAAGGAGCGAGGAGCGAGGAGCGAGGAGGAAAAGGTACCAAAGCCGATACCTCGAAGGAGAAAAAACGGCATAGACATAAACCTTTTGGCGCTCCGCGCGGATTTCTTGGATCGTCGCATGGGCCCCCTTGGCGACGCCTCGAGCGCCGCCCCTGGCGCGCTCCGCGCGCCAGGGAGGGGGGTCCAGCGCGGATCCAAAAAATCCGCGCCGAGCGCCAAACACTTATGTTTATGCAGCTTTCCTTCTTCTGAGAAAGGGTACCGATACCGATGCCCTTCCCTCGTTTTCCCCTTTCTAGGCTTCCTGGGAGGCCCTCGTCGCCACCGCTGAATTCGCCTCGAAATTGTGGTAAGGACGCGCCCAGGGGGAGGTCTGCGGAGTAGCGGTGTCGGTGCCTTTCGGTGTTCCCACCAGGAGCGAGGAGGGAGGGAGAGAAAGAGTGGAGAGGAGACGAGCTAGGTGTGCGCTCGTGCTACATCGGGCGTCGCTCCCCTCCCACCCGTGCGCGCACTGTGAAGGAGGAGGAGGCGCACGAGCAGGTGGAGGAGGAGGAGGAGGTGGAGGAGCAGAGAAGTAGGAGAGGAAGGAGCAGGAGCAGGAAGAGTAGGAGGGGAAGGCGGAGGAGGGGAAATGAGGTGGACTCGTGGCGGCGGTGCTATAGCTTTTCCTCGCGGTCCACTCCGAGCTCAGCGAAGGCAATTTCATTCGAGAGTCGCATCGCGAAGGGATCCATTCCACTCCACTCGTCAGGATGCGGTTGGGGATGCCAGGGGTAGTGGTGACGTTCAAGATTTTGGGATTTCGCCGACGGCCCTCCCTGCGATAGAATGGCAAAGATGAGCCAACGCGCCAAGACATGGCTTCCCTGAGAGTCAGGAGTTCCCCTTCCTCCCCGCTTTCCTCTCCCATCTCGCTCGCCCTCTCTCGGGGCAGGGTCGTTGTAGAGCCGGGTCGGCACAGGCAATGTCTCGGGCATCGTCGCTGGCGTCGTCGTTCGTCGTTGCCCGAGCCCGAAGGGTAGCTGCTGGTTGGCACTGCAGACGGCCCCGCCGAGCGAAGATAAAGCATAAAAGCTCGTCCTTCCTCTCTCTCACTCCTTCCCGTGGGGAGAAGTAGGGGGTGGAGGAGAAGGAGGAGGAGGAGGAGGGGAGAAGAGGAGGTGGGGTACATGACAGACGGAGTAAGAGGTGGCCAGAGGAGGGGAGGGAGGAGGATAAGGGAAGAGGAAGGGCGGTGCCAGGCGGACGGGCAGGAACACAGAGAGGAGATGAAGCCGGACGGGAGGATGACGGGGGAGCGCGAGGAGGGAGAAGGAGGGGGGGAGGGGCTTGCAAACAGTTTGAAACATGTTGTGGGTGTTTTATGGGGTTTGGAGCATCCTTGAGGCTCCTTTCTCCTCCGCCCTCCTTCATCCTCCCCCGTCGTTCCCTCCTCCCCCGTCATTCCTCCTCCTACATCGCTCTTGAATGCTACCACATCCTCCCTCCCCTTCTCCCTCCTCTTTCCTCCTTCCTCCTTCACGTGTCACATGACTCACCTTCCTCCGCATCATCTCCCTCATTCGCACTCCTTCTCTCCATCCTCACTCTAGTATCATCTTGCTGCTGCTCGTGCTTCGCCAGCTCCTTCTCATACTCCTGTTGACGCGGCAGCATCTTCTGTGAACGGGCTGTAGAAGTGCACGCCTGTTGGGTGTAGTCGGGAGCGGATTCCGCGCCAAAGGAGCTTGCGAAGTGGCTCATGGACGAAGGCATCGACTCCGTCTCCCTGAATCCCGACAGCGTCCCGCGCGATAGTTGTTGGGCTGTTGGGAAGAGAAGGAGAAGGATGAGGAGGAGGAGGAGGAGGAGGAGGAGGAGAAGGAGAAGGGAGGACGAGGAAAAGGAAGACGAGGCACATGAGAGGACGTGATGTGCTCTCTGACCACGTGCTGGATTCGTAACGCACCTGGAGTGGTAGAGCACCCAGCGCGATCGTGCACCCTCCTGGAGGAACTCTCGCACTGGACGATCCCAGAGTTCTCGCACCCTGTGGTCCCACGAGGGGGCGACGAAGGTCCACGTCGATCAGTGTATGTATCGGAGGTGGATAGACCTCCTACCCTGACACGTCGATTCAGCAATTGGCCGTTTTCGGTTCGCGAGAGGGCATCGCGGCCGTCATTTTTGCGGGTCCAGGTCCGGTGGTTTCGGTCCCAGGTCGTTTCACTAAGGGGAACAAAAAGTGACATAAACATAAAAACTCAGAGGTCCGCGCGGATTTCTCGGATCCGCGCTGGGGCCCCCCGAGAAATCCGCGCGGACCTCCGAGTTTGCATGTTTATGTAAATTTTGTTCCCCTATGTGCGCACCGAGCCCAACGCGTTGCTGGCTGGTCGGTGCTCCTCGTTGGAGCAAGCTTCCCTTGCGACACCCACTAGGGGTAGTTTCAACCACCCGGGGGGTCATTCTCACAGCCGTGGAACTTAGAGGTGAGGAGGGGTGCATGGCCGTAGATGCCGAACAGTATCCGCTTGCCTTGTGCCGCCTCCTGGCCGTTTCGATATTCTTCGCGGTGGTTACGCCCGAGTTCCACAAGACGTGGGCAGGGCGTTCAATGACGTCGACACAAGTTGAGCAAATTCTGCGTACCCCTCGACCCGAATGGCCCGCCTGAGCCGTAACGGTCCGGACCGCCAGAGCGGCAGCCGTGTGGACCGCAGATCCGGTTACGTGCTCGAACGCTTGGGGGTTGTCGTGTTTCTCGTCCGCTACCTTCTCCTCCTCCCCTCCTCCTCCTCCTCCTCCTCCTCCTCCTCCTCCTCCTCCTCCTCTCTTCCTCCAACTCCTCCTCTCCCTCCTCCTCCTCCTCCTCCTCCTCCTCCTCCTCCTCTTCCTCCTCCTCCTCCTGCTTCTCCTCCTGCTCCTCCTCCTGCTCATCCTTCTTGCCTTGGGGCCTCACCAAGGTCTTCTGCTTACGCACAACTCAGCATCCTTGCTTGCCAAAACACAGCGCGCTGCTGCCTACGCTGGCCGCCACCCACAAGGGCCTCCTACGCTCAGGTGAGCGCCCTCCGCCATCGCACCCGAACGCTCCAACGTCAGTGCGACGAGGTGCTCGCCCAGTCTGTGGTCGTACCGAGACGCTCACCAGCGCTCTGGTTGCCGTTGCGGCCGAGACGTGCATGCATGATGGACCGATTTCCCACCATCGCTACCATAGGTAGGAGGTGGAGGAGGAGGAGGAGGAGGAGGAGGAGGAGGAGGAGGACCTCCCCATCCTCCCTTCTCCACCGTCCTACCTGTGGTAGAGTCGGGCTGCTGAAAGAAGGAACGATAAACAAGGAACGAAGCCCCTTCTTGGCCCCGCAAGCGCCTGCGTGCACGAGGAAGGCTAGAGGAGAAGCCATAGAAGGACCTGGGGAATATTGAGCCCCTTTCCTACCCAAACTGTTCCTTATTTCAGCGACTTGGCTGTAGTGGTGGGGGAAGATTGGCCCAGCAATGCAGGCCGACCCCACTGCCACCCTACAGACGTTCCTCGCTGCTCACGCCTCCGCCCCAGCAGCGGGTCAAGCCCGCCGCCCAGCCGCCGGTGCTCGGCCGCGTCTCACCCACACCTTTCGCCCATGGCAAGCACGTCGTCGTCCTCCTCCTCCTCCTCCCCTCCCTCTCCTCCTCCTCCTCCTCCTCCTCCTCCTCCTCCTCCTCCTCCTCCTCCTCCTCCTCCTCCCCTCCTCCTCCTCCTCCTCCTCCTCTCTCCTCCTCCTCCTCCTCCTCCTCCTCCTCCTCCTCCTCCTCCTCCTCCTCCTCCTCCTCCTCCCCTCCTACTCCTCCTATCCTCCTCCTCCTCCTCCCCCTCCCCCTCCCCCTCCTCCTCCTCCTCCTCCTCCTCCTCCTCCTCCTCCTCCTCCTCCTCCCCCTCCTCCTCTCCTCCTCCTCCCTCCTCCTCCTCCTCCTCCTCCTCCTCCTCCTCCTCCCTCCTCCTCCTCCTCCTCCTCCTCCTCCTCCTCCTCCTCCTCCTCCTCCTCCTCCTCCTCCTCCGCCCCCCCCCCTCCTCCTCCTTCTCCCCCTCCTCCCCGGCGAGTTAGCCTTTCCCTCCTGGCCCGCTGCCGCCCGTTCCTTCCCTTTCCATCCCCCATGCATGCCCCAGCCAATTCGCTGTGCAGTGCCCCTGCATCGCTGCCACGCTGGAGCGGATCGTCCCGCCTCAATGCCGACGGAAACAGTTTGCCGAGGTCGGAGTGCTGAGTTCTTAGCTGGTGGACGTTGGAGGCCGTTGGGTGCAACACCGCATCATGGACACCCCCATGTGTCACAAAATACCCCTTTCCTGGGTGGACGCCGGCGTGTCGCCGTGATGGTCGTGGACGTGGGCGTGGTGGCTGTTTCTGGCCGTGTAAGCTGTTTCTGATCGCGGTCGTGGCGGCTATTCGTGGTCGTGGTGGCTGTCTCTGGTCGTGGTCGTGATGGCTGCGCGTGGTCGTGGTGGCTGTTCCTCGTCGTGGTCGTGATGGCTGTTCGCCGTCGTGGTGGCTGTTCCTGGTCGTGGTCGTGGTGGCTGCTCGTGGCCGCGGTGGGTGCAACGCAACATCCTGGACACCTCCGTGTGTCACGGAATACTGGGGGCGCGCATCAAGAAAGCATCTGTTTTGCGTCAGGGTATCCTGGGTTTCTTCGCTCCTCGCGCTGCGCGGTGACTTCCCGCGGCCGTTGAAGGAGCTGCTGCCTTCAGGGTGCTCCGGGTTTCCCCTCTGGTGTACCTCACGCGCGGGTTCTCAGGGTCGGGTCTCTTGCGAGGGTTTCCTGAGGTCGCGCCCACACTGTACCCCCTTCATGGGTGGACGCCGGCGTGTCGCCGTGATGACCGTGGACGTGGTCGTGGTGGCTGTTTCTGGTCGCGTCGCCGTGCTGGTCGTGATGGTAATTGTTGTATCCCCCCTCGGCGAGGGGAGGGATAAAAGCAAGCAGACACAACTAATCGCCGAGTTCCTTGAACACATGGGAAATGTGGGGCGACGAAGCTCCAGAAAATATTTGACATGTTGGGAATCCCAGTATTTGTATCTATTTGGAGGCCAGAACGGAGCCGAGAACGCCCCCAAACCGCGCCACTTTCTAGAATATTGTTCCCTGACGAGATTTGCCCCAGAGGGCTCTTCCTTGACGGTGTAGAGGTCTCCGTGCCCAAGCCAGGAGGGCGTACACACCGATCCTGGACCCAGGACGAGTCTGCCCAATATCGGTACAGGTGTATGCTTTCGGTGGTTCAAAGACGGGGTCCTGCGGGATGGGGTCCCAAGGATATGGAGGGATCGAGGTGTGGATTTATGTACCTTGTTTGAGGCACCTCGTCCTTAGGGCCCCATCCCTCAGGACCCCATCTTTGAACAACCGATACTTGGCGCGCTCCTACATTACAGTCAAGAGCTTTGGCTTAGCGTGTCGCTCCACCGGTTCTAGCTCACTGCGCTTCGGCGCCACACGCTATCCACTTCCCGGTCCCCCAGCATCAGCGCCCAAGCCTCTCCGAGCCTCCCGCCCCGCAGAGCGGAGCGACACGCCATCCGCTTGGAGAATATTGGGTGCCGCCAGGATCGCCGCCGCGACACGCTATCCAAACGCTCCTTCTGACCGTAAGCAACGCCCGACACGTTGGGAAGCTCACTCTCGAGCGTGCCAGCGCGCTTCTGGACGGTGTCGCCGAGCCGTCTCCGGCGCAGCTCGGGCGGCCCGGGGGCGGCCCAGCGGGGTCGCCAGCGGCTCCACCCACGGGGCATCGGAGAGGAGGCCAGGGGCAAGTCAGCAGGGGGGAGAAGCAAGAGGAAGAGGACGACAAGAGGAGGAGCCAAAGGCAAGACGAGGACAAAAGAGAAGGGGGAAACGTCAAGAGGTCAGGGGGCAACGTCGGGAGGACGAGGGCGAGGAGGACAGGAGGAGGAGCCGCCCACGGCTCACCCCCACCGTCCCCGTGGACGCTGGTGCCACGCAGAAGGGGGCCCTGGGAGGGGCCAGATCCTCCCAAGACTCGGGGCTTGCAAAAGTCGGGGAAACTTAAGACTCGAGTGCGCCGGAACTCGGGCTTGCCGACGCAATTTGACGAGCGCGTCCTGGACTTTGACGGTCCAGTGTTCGTGGGATGCTTGCAGCGGGTGTTCGCGTCAAGCGTCAGAGCGGGTCTCGTCATTTTCAAGATGGCCCCGACAGGCCAACCCGAGTCCCCAGCACCCGAATCTTACGTCTCCCCGATGCGGTGGAGGCGTTTGTTAAGGAATATTCCCAGGAGTCGCCAGACCTTATCCAATGAGGGTGGCGGTGATGCCCATGGCCGATCCACGATTGGAGTTCCACTGGCTTCCAGACCCTGGATTCCTCATCTAAGGGTTCCTTATCCAATGCCCCCGCCGTAGCCGGATCGGCTCAAGTGCCTGGCGCTGGGCCCCCGCCGCCGCCTTCCCGCTGGACCCCCGCAAGTTGTAAGTCGGCATTTCCTCCTCGGGGCGGATGGCTGGCCCGAGGGGCCCGCCTGGGCGCTGACGCCACCGGCGCAGGGCGCCCGCCCGCTGCCCCACGGCGGCCGCTGGGCGCCTCGCCCGCCCTTGCGGGCCCCGGCGGCTCGGTGGAGGCCTTCGTGCTCTTCACTGCAGTGACGGCGCAGGCGGAGGACCGCTGGGCGCGGGCGCGCGGCGCTGGATGGCCCGCCTTCCTGCAGCTCGCCGCCCCCCCGCTCCTGCCCCTCGACCTCTCGCTGCTGGAGATGCTGCTGGCTGGCCTCGACCGCTCGGGTGCGCTGGTGCCCTCCCG